TAACTGGTTTCGATCATTACGTTGCGCTCCTCTATGCTATTCTACTCAGCAGCGGCGTGACAAACATAATCGCATTATCGCCCTGGGGTGTTCGGGTCTCAAGATTCGACGACGACTTTCATAACCCGCGGTTCTGGGAAAGTTGGCCTTGTGTCCTCAATTGGTTTGCTTGTTTGCTAATGCTGTTCGCTCGCTTTTTGACTGACATCCCTATTAGCTTGATACCTTTGGTAGAGTTCGTCTTTCTTTGACACTTGATTACAAGTGTCTCTCACTGGGAACGAAGCTATTTTTCACTCTTTCGTTAAACATGTAATTATTAGATCAGGAATAATATCGAATAGTCAATTTCAGCTGGGTTGCTAATTCTGGTCCGCTAATGCGCCTTGTGCATAACTCATACGCAACTAGAACCACACAATTAATCAATGAACCTTTTTTTCGGAATTAGAAGCGTTACATTATTACTGCGTCGCGAGCCTTCTTTCGAATACATCAGTTACCCGTGCTGGGGTAGATCCATCCTCATATAGTTTTAGCCAAACCCTAGGCGTAGCTAGCGTGTTATTTCTATAGATTGTATATCTACATTTTTTCTAAGCTTTTATTTGATTGTAGAAAGTATCGGACGGCTTGATGCCACGAGTGTATTCAACATTCGAAATCTAGACCCACCTCGAAGAAATGTTTGCTGTAGACCTTGTAGCGAGCGCATTTATCTATTGTACATACCTTCACTGCGAAAACTCTACCTGGCATCGTTCTTTACCGCTCTAGAAGTCTCGCTAGATAAACAGCGTTATCAATATTGCAATCTTAATTTGGCGCCAGTTGCAAGAAGCGCTCCCTATATGCTTTGCTTTTATTCCTTGGATCGATCGGTGAACTATCACTTGTTTGTCCCAAGTTGTACCGTATCCTGTACTACATCGGCGGTTTCGCTAGAACCACTCGCGCCCTCTAACCTCTTTAGAATCGCTTGCAGAAGTACAATACAGCGTAGCAGTTGAAGACCGGACAACACTTATTCGTCTAGCCAACCATAAAACGCGGGACACCGTTCAGCTCGTTAGGGTGACTCTTGGCCCGGTTAACTGTGACCATTCTATTTCGCTTCTTCTTGAGTCTTCTCGAAATCGTCTTCGTATTATTCTCTCTTCGGTTGTGCGACGGCACAAATGCAGCAGCACCCATTGTGCAAGCCGCTCGAACCAAAAACCAAGAACCTTTTTTTTTTTGGGGGAGGGTTACGTCCGGTATTTAGGCCGTTAGGTATTACTTCAGACGGCTAGCTCCCAACACAAAACAACGTGTGTCTTAACGCGGATACGAACCTAGACCACCACGTGTCCCAAGCTTAGCCGCTCTATCAGATACACGGGTCGTTCGAATTCGACTTGTGCCAACCTATCCTGAGGTGAAGCGTCGCAATTGTTTACAGCTCTAGCTACGACTCTTCATCTTTCTCAAGACAACGTGAGATTTGTCCTTGACAATGATAGGACTATTCTTGTGGGACCCTTTGCGAAAGTTCCATTCCCTATTGCTCCCATAAGCGACTAGTGCTGAAGGTGTACCTGAAAGCGACTGAACTTTAACTGTACCCATCTTTGTGATTATTACAATTTAAAATGTGCCATTTTAGAAGAAAAGACCACCGTGCAGTGAAAGCTATGCGCGTTAGGCCGAACAACACATCTGACGGGATTCTAATTCTCATCGATCTTTAGTGTTATGGGTTAATAATGAACAAAACAAATTTTCTCAATACACCTTCATTCTATCCTACATTTCTTATGACCAAACGCTGCTTTGCAAGGCGAGTGGTTATGTTGTATATTGTTTGTAATGTATATGCGCGTATAGGATAGATATGCAGAAACGCCGATCGTTTGACCTGAGCCCGAGTTTTGTCAAAGCGATGCCAGATACCGATTCGCCTTTGTCGTTGTTATGCTTCTGGTTTTCGTTGTCGTTTGATTCTCGATGATGTTTGCGTTTGTTGTAGATTGTCTGATTTTCATAACGAGATAATATGTAATTGATGACCCGTTTGTTGCGAAGAACTAGCTAGGTATCCCGGACGGGCGCACGGGTAATATATCCACAATCGTGTTATTCTGATCTCTGACTCGGTCGGTTAGAATTACCAGAACTGAAGACACTTTTGACTGACGACCCGCTGGGGAGAGCCGCTCCACAACGAGTGGGGCAGCGAGAGAAGCGATAGATCGATATGGGGAAAAAAAGGTGGGACAAACAAACAGCGAGACGTTATCGCAAAATCGGCGAATCGGAATAGGCGAGCAAGCTTAAAATGAACTTCGCGCATACCCAGACCGCCTAATGCCCAGATGGAAACACTCACTCCGGTAAACTACAGGAAATGAAGAGCATATTAGAAAAATATAGAACGAAAGACCGGGCGCAACAACATGTCTATCGAGATAGTTGTGATAGATAAAAAAAATACTGCTGAAGAAACCACTGGAGACGTTACACAAAACTTAACAATATGTCCTTCGGAGACGCCGACGTGGGGCGCATCAAAATGATGCTGAAGGTAAATCTTGAAGCTATTGAAGATGAACCGTAATGGAACGCATTATGCCACATCCTTATCATATCGTCGATGTGTCACGGCATTACAACTAAAGATCAATTTTAGTGTGTACAGATGTGTCAAGAGCACCTGATGTCCGCATGGTACATGTTGGTAAATGTGCATGGTTCATGCCTTTTGATTCTCAAAACGCTAAAACCTTAATGGTCCTGCTCGTTGTGCATAAGAAGCACCCGAACGATGTCGTGGCAAGGTTTTTTGAAGGTAGAACAAAATCCCTCAACCAGATTAATTAATCGGTATGGCGACTAAGGCACGCCTTGAAATTGCAGTTCTGATAATCAGAATTTGAGTTTAAGCAGTTGAGAGTAGGTATTTTGTACATGCCCAATATGCAAATCATTTACTTAGTTCTTTCTCCGTTAGCATAACGTTGACTTAAGATGTTAGGCAGCTTCAATTGTTCACTTCATTTATTCGAATGAGGCCTATAAGCTTGAAACTCGATGGATTATATGCTCCAGCAAGGAGCCATAGAAAGTCTACTTCCGAGTTAGCGATCGCCTAGTTATTTCGAGCCATTGCGAAAGGTGGTGGATGTGATTGATGTATGTAGATGGAGCAATTGTTGGAAAGCTTATTTTCAAATCCGGAAAAGATAATTACTCAAAAAAAAGCGTTACCTATACGGGTACTTAGTTTCCAGAAATCTTCTTATTATTAACTTTGTCATTATCTGCTATAAGAAAGGCTCGTCTAGCTAATATCTATGTAAACGTTTCAAGCAATTACGCCTAATATTGCCATTACGCAGTATTTCACACACCCCTCAAATAACACGAACTCCAGTAACTAATCTGGACAATATCTGGGTAACAACCTCACTAGCCCAAAAATAGAATACCAGAATAGTTCCGCGAGCCGCTTTAGCCGTTGAAAGTAAACATCTTAGAGATAAAGATAACTGAACGTATATATTATAAATATCTACAATAACAAAAACGACAGATACAGTAAACGATTCAGAGAAAAAATGATTGCCAACCGCATATTTAGTACAAAAGATTACTCAAGCCACGGCAATGATTCCGACTATAAATTTATGCAAAGAGAATTTACAGTACACTGCTTAAATGGGATAAGTTACAATTTTTCAGGGACCTGTAACGCTTTATCGACCCATTGGCAAAGAAAGGTCAGCTATTGTGGACAACTACTCAGCCTGTTGGCGAAATTTGTGAAGTAAATACAAAGCTTACATGCTTCACAACATGATATATGCCATGAGAGCAAAATATGGCGCAAGCACTTAATCATATATATGGTTACTGGGTGTCTCATCACAATCGCTTGGACAAGTCATACATCATCTTTTTATCCGCAGAGTGATTAATACTTCTAGTCGTCTTCGCTCCTTGATCGAATCGGGCACTTTTTAGTCGTTGAAGAACTCTGAATTTTTTTTACAGACAATATCTCTAAATAGCGGGAAACAATAGAAAAATCTCAAGTTACTGTAAAAAGAAGAATGACACCTTTTGTATAGAATGATCATTTGGTTTGAATTCGTTCACACAAGTATATATATATATATATATATATATCAGTTCAGCTCAGCTCTCCATATACAGATTCTATTTACACCAAGGTGGCCTAAATTGTAATTAGTGGATATATATGCTTTGATAATTATCAACATCGCGCATCATTACATACACAAACTTAAGTTAAACTCTGTAACACAAATTTGAACAGCTACACGTAAAGTTTTCACCGGACAAAGCTCTTCATACACGTTTTGGCTTAAAAATTATTAAGCCGGAATGATAACTAAATATAATTGGAAAACAATCTTCATCAACTAAATACAAAAAAACGAGTACATCTGATGAAAATACACATTGCTTGTCTAGGTCTTCTTGAGCTCCATCTCGGTATTAGGATATCTTAAGTGTAGAATATAATGTCTTGCGGTTTTACCGGCATAGGGACTCAATCAGGAAGCGCTATTTCATTTCAATTGTAAACAATTCGATTATAAATTTACCGATTTTATACGTCTTAGAAAGGCTTGCTGATAATAAAGAAAAAAAAAATCAATAATTATTTGGGTACTGATTATGACCATCTCTTGGGTGTTGCAGTAGACGTCGAAAGTTCAAATGCAAAACAAGTAGAGAAAAAAAATATTACAAAGCACAGAACAGATAACCAAAAAAATCATGAAAATCACAGTTTTTCAAAATCGTGGTTTTTAAATATTTATATACAAATGAGTTAAATTTCTCGCAAAGCCTAGACGACAGCTTAGAATAGTAAGACACTATATAT